ATATATATATATTATACTAATACTTATTCTCGGTATCATTATTTCAAAAATTTTTGATGGTATAACATATAAAATGCCTTACAACAATAAAATATCTCGATAAAAATTGTTTTGATTTTTATTTAACACAGCGAGCGCTCAATGGCGGGTAATTATAGTCATCGTTAGTACAATAAATAAATTAAAATTATATAGAAAGTTATGTTATCATTTTTATGCCCCTTTAAATATTTTACAAAGCATGTATTTCGTTCGCCATGCCTTATAAGACCTGGCGAACTTGGCTGTGCGGTAATTTATATCAACTAAACTTCTGTGCTCGATGAACATCTTTTATCAAGTTGACGACATGCGCGCGAAACAATATCGCACATAACATTTTTTTATGACTATTCTTCAAATTACGGAAAGTTGCAAAGTCATATATTTATTAAACGAGAAGAGCAAAAGTGTTCATTCGTAATTTACTGCTGGCTTCAGCAACGGGGAAAGAACTGAAATAAATGGAGGGGATTGCGACGAGTCCTTACCAACATAATGGGTATCTGCGAGATATCTTGGCCCTTGAGTTCCCTTATCACGGCCCAGATCGGTCGTAGCTCCTCGAGACTTTGCCGTGAGCACACCGAGTACACCAAGATGAAGGCGTGACCTTTGCTTATGGAGAGTCGCTGCATAGCGGGAAACTGATGGGACCCCGTTGTATCCGTAATTTGAAGTGTGCATATGTTTTTATCGCAACTTATCACCTGAAATATCGTAATGCAATCTGTTGGCTTTGATCGCAAGGCTTTGGGCTTCGATCCGATCGGTTCGACTCGAAGTCAGTGATTCTCGATTTGATTCGACTCGGCATCATACATCGAGTCGAGTCAAAGCAGGGCATTGGATTGAGTCGAGCTAACAATCGAAAACGCCTGTGCGACTTCATTGGTGACACTTCTCATCGCGCACACAGCGAGAGTCCCACCAGCATCGTCATTGTGTTTTTACGTATAAATACATACGAACGTACATTTCTGTTAAAATCTTACGAATATATGTGAGTGCCGTATTGTATTTATACGCGCGGCGTATAAATTATCGATATAAACGAAATATGTTACTACGTTGCTTTAATTTGCACTTGTACAAATAATGCCTATTTTTACTAATGTAGATTAACTTTAACACTTCTGTATTAATGTATCTACATCGAACATCTATATCGAATTTTTAGCAATAAAAAGTTTTTACGCGAATTTCGTTATGACGTTTCAAAAAACTTCATCCTTCGAATAGTTTTGCATAGATTTTATTTCGTTTTCACTTTTGTATTTTAGTATGAAACATAGTAGTGAAAAAAATTTTTTAAATGTGAAAAATTATGCATCGATAGAAGAGTTAATCTCGTTTTAATGTACTCTTTATTTTTCTCCAATTTTTACAAGAAAATACACAAAGTGTTTTTCTCCGATTTTAATGAGCTTTTAATACGTTGTCTTAAAAATAAATAATTACACTTTAAAAATAAATAATTACACTGCGTGATGCTTTTTAGGCTTTCATGGTATTATCTTCAAAGATACCAGAAGGTTTGCGAGTTATCACCGTGTTTTTATCCATTGATAATACCAACGTTTCATGAATCTTGCCGTTCACTTCATCAGGAGCGCACTGATACTGTATTAGTTACAGTGCTTCTCGCCCGTGATGAAGTGAACGGCAAGGTTCATGTCGCAAATTTTCTGGTATTGAATTACACCGCATATTCTTTTTATGCACACTCATGCATTTTTAAATATTATTTTAAGAAATATTCTTTTGATAAAAGTCAGTTTCGTTCAAAGCGAATATCGTTGAAAATATAAAGATATAGAAAATAATTTTTTATGATCGACTGTTGCCAATCAAAGATTAGCAAAAATTGAGGGAGTATGCGTTTCACCGAGATGGATCAGTTCTTACCAAAGACCTTCATCATTGCAATACAAGTATATATTCTTACTAACTTTTGAATACAGACTTCTTATTGATCAAACTTGACTTAAAACTTGTAATTACCTATGAATTTCTCTATTAATAAAAGTATTTTTGATTTTGGTCAATATGCAGTTTGATTAGTCATAATTGTTATAAATGAATTTTAGTATGTTCACTGCAGAGTTGGGAACATTACTTTAAAAAAATGCGTTACTATTGCAATTACTTTTTGTTAAAAACAACTCGTTATCATTACTAGTTATTCATTTTTAAAAGTAACGCATTATCGTTACTTCAAAAAGTAACGAATCGTTACTTTTCGTCACGACGTGACAGCTCTGGAACATCATATTGGACTAAGAAAGAATAAGAAATGGTAAAGATCTCAATTTCGAAATTTTTTGTCGTTCTCAGCATAGATTCCATCTCACAGACACATGCGTTTATTTTAAGCCTTGGATTTGGAAAAGGATTTCCAAATCAATAAGAAAGAAAAAAAATAATTGTTATACAAAAATTATATGATTTAGTCGATAATATAGACGACTTTAAGATTCTCTTAAAGACAGAAAAAAATAACGATCGTTACCGAAAAAAAATAACATGTTACTTCCCAACTGGTTCACTGGTTGACGTATAAATCTAAGAAATAAATTGATTAATTATACTATTAAATTGATTAATTATATTATTGATAACCAATGAGTTTTTATAAGTAGAAAACTTTTTATAACACCCTTCTTTCATTAGAACTGTTGGATTCTAAAAATTGCGGGATAACGCATGATTCCATGTGAGAGTGATTGATTCATAGTAATTGACAGATTCCAAAATCGAATCCGACCATCAGTGAATGATTGTAAAATATATAATTTTAAAGCAAATACCTTAACAGCACAAAACATCTTCAGGATTCTGAATACGTCTTGAATATCCTGGGACGTATATGAGATATGTTTAGGACATTATACTTATAAGAATGTCTTATGTCCTTAATAAATAAGCGTTTGAAAAGTCCTAAACAAAATGTCCTCCTGAGGGCGTCCTGTGAACTATCAAATGAGTGTCTCATTATACTCTAAATCCACAGCAATGAAAATTTTACTGCTAACATAAGTGTGTAGCAAAGTCATTACTTTAAGTGTGGCTTTTCATTGCTTTGAAGTTAATCTGTCTACTTTTACATAAGGAGTGGGTTATTTCACTCGATCAATCAAAGTGATTTAAGCATTGATAATGCAATGCAAGATGCATGAATGTTACTGCAACGAGTAAATTTAGTGATATAACGCACCGCTATGTCGTTTGTCATTTGTTAGGTTTACAATCAATCAGGATACGTTGTCGTATGTTGTATGCATGTGCATAAAGCGTGTTCTGCAATAGAGACATAAGTCGTAAGAAATTAACCAATCATATAGTCGATTATTCTTCTCACACTTAACTGTGATTGGCAATTTTTTACAGCTTACGATTTGCGATCCTATTGTAGAACAGGCAATCTTCATTTTTCGTGTCGGTGTTGGCTGTCGGGTGTCGTTTGGATTGATCAGGTTTCATCTTTTAAGGACTCCGCACAATAAAAGGAATAGGGAACAGAGAACAGAAAATAAGAATTTCACCTATCAGAAATCATGTATTGTAGAAAACACAGTTTCTGATAGGTTCAAATTCTTCTTTCTCTGTTCTCTATTCTTTGTTCTTTTTATTGTGTGAAGCTCCTTACGATTAACGACATCCGACAACCATTGATTTGATTATAAATGAAGCCTTATGGTCGTTACGGGCGAGACGCATCTTCTGAGATGGACATGAGACATAGGAGACAAATTTATTTTGCGTGATTGTGATTATGCATAATATATTCAAACATTTTGCCATAGGTAAGCATTATTTAATGCAAAAAAAAAAGAGAATTCTATAATATCATTATTTTAACTTCCAAATTCAATTCTTTTTGGAGTAAAATTTTCACTCCAATTATTGAATGGAATAATTCCATTTCTTGCAGTAAAATTCACTGGCAGTAGCATTAGCTCAATTGCTATTAACGCCTGGAATGAAATTTCGATTCAATGCAATGAAATTTTATTGTTACAGATTTAGAGCGCATATCCTACATCTATCTACGGAACATCCAAATCCGAAGTCCTAAAAGTCCGTTTGTAATCTATTTTTGAATTTTTCTAATATTCTAAATTTATTAATTTGTTACTTATTGTTAGATTATGTCGTTTTTCGCATTTAAAATTTAATCACAATCTCTACGAGTATATATCCAAGTTTATAAACTTAGACATATCATAATTATTTGTACTGAGTTTTCATGTATTCTTAGTGCGAGATATGATTGTATTTTTTTGTATCAACTTTTGAAGTTAATGAATATAATATTTTGTAAAACTCCACTAAACAATTTATCCATGAACATCCAGATGTTCTTTTCACTAGAGCCGGTAAGTGCAACATCACAGTTGCACTTAATGTCATTATAACACCAAGATGGAAAGAATACTTTCCATCAACATTAATACTTACATGATTATACAAAGAGATCCAACAAAAAAACTGACATCGGAGGTTCATACATTTTTCGTACTTTTCGACAAGATAAGAGCATAAGATTAGAATTAAATTACATTGATAACATAAAATTACATTGATCAATATACTTATAAAAAAAATTGTATGTGGATGGTGTTCTGCCGAGAGCTTACGCATTGCCGAAGATATAAAGAGGATTACCCTTTAAAAATTATAGTGTCTTGTATTGACAGTCTCTTGTACTATTTTGCTTCATTTATTCAAGATATTGAACATAATATTCCTAAACATTTTAGTTACATAAAAATAGTTATCAATTAGTTAAGATTTAATGGTACGGAATTTGATGAGGGATATAAACTTGCATCTTTGGTTATAGTATCGATGTTCACTTATGTACAGAAGGATTTAACCTTGAATAGCATTAAAAAAAGATAAGGTTATATTTCTAGCCATAGCTCCATCCCAATGAAAGAGTTTTTGGGGACAATCTCTTAGATGTAATTCTTAATAAATTTAATTTATATCACGAAAGATTGCAATTTATTATTATTTAAATAAGATGGAGAATACAAATAAGATTAATTACTTTGATATCACTTAGATATCACTTTGGAGGAAGAATGCATATTGTTTGACCTGTATACCAAATCTACAAATTAAGTTATTTCAGTTTTCACTCAGATCACCCATTTGAACATAAAAAAGCTGTGATTACGAGATTAAATAATAAAATTTTGACACTGTCACACCCAAAATTCCAGTTCAAAAATTTAAAAACAATGATTAATATTTTATAAGACAATGATTATCCCTTTGATATTGTTTTCAATGTTATCAGTAGCACAATTAATAAACTATCAAGGAGCATGAGAAGAGATGCTGACAATTGAAAATAAAAAATATTTTTCTATCCCTTATATATTAGCAAATCTTCATCAAATTCAAAAACTGTTACCAAAAAGGCACGAATGTCATCTTATAAACCCATAAATTTTTTAAAATAATTTATAAAAACAGGGAAAGATCATTTAGAAAAAATGAATATAAGTGAATTAGTTTATAAAATAGATTATGAAGATAAAATAGATTATAAAGATTAGTTATGTGGAACAGGCCGAACAACAGTTGAAGATTAAAATTAAAGAACACTCAGCAAATATTAATAAATCCTCGGTTGCCTTGTCAGTAATTTCAAGTTATAGATTGGAAACGAATCAAAGTTTTGGTTGGGATGATGTGA